ATTGCAAAGAAGGTGGGTGTAGACTAACAACTGTGGATGGTGCAGCCGCGGTCCTCATTTTTGTTTTTTTTTTTGTTGAAGTACTCTTTTTTGTTTTTCCCGCTTTGCGAGTTGGTTTTCATCACCTGCGGTTATTTCGTGTGCGCGCTTTTGCCGAGTGGGGGCGTATGCCATTTGTTGCGTGTTTGATTTCATACGCCTTTTCATTTTTACTTACTTGTTTTTTTTCTTGCCGACCATGTTTCTTTGTAGTTGTTTGTTTGCATCCGTGGATTCTCACACATTATTATTATTATTATTATTATTATTATTATTATTGTTATTATTATTATTATTGTTATTATTGTTATTTTTGCTTTACCCGTCTCTCTCCCGTGCTTCCGGCACTTTTAGGTTTAGGGAGTTACCTCTTTGTGGAGTGGGGACGCGCTCACAATGGGCCTTTTTTTCACTGTTTGCCTGCACCGCACGCACGCTGGTAAACACACTCATATTCATATCACATAAAAACAAAAAAATACATTTTTTTTTGCCTCTCATTCTATTTTTATTTCTTTGCCCACGCACTTACACCCGCCTCCGTTTCAGTTCAATGTGGGTTGTGGCAAAAATGCCTATTGTTGTTGTTGCTGCTGTTTTTTTTTTTTTTGTTGTGTGTGTGTGCGTGTGTGCGTTCTTCCCTCCCTTTGATCCTTGCTTTCTCCTTGGTTTGCCATGCCATACGCGGGTCTTTGCCAGACCTGACAGGGTGTTACTAAGGAGTTGGTTATTGTTTATGTATATGTATGCTTCTATCTGTCTTGTTTTATCCCTTTGTGTTCATGAAACGCGTTTACCCGCAACTACGCTCCCGACTTCCCAAGCAACAGTCTGCTGGAAGCGACGGAGACGACAAACCCGGCGTGCGGAATGCACGCAAAGTGAGTGCGCGTGTCTCATTGGGGGGGAGTGGCAAGGTATGTATGTATGCGTATGGTGCGTTTGTGGTGCTCGGACATGCAGTTTTTTTTTATCTTATCGTTGGTAATATATGCGACCCTGTGGATTTCGCTGGAGTCGTCGTCGCTTGAGCGTCGAATCGGTTGGGGTTTGCCAGCCTTTAATTTTCTATTTTTTTTTTTCTGACGAGGGGGGCTTTGCTCGTGGTTGGTTCTGCTTCTCACCCCGCGATAAAATTTTCTTTTTCTTCTCTTACTCGCCTTTATTTTCCCTGCGGTCGAAACGAAGAGAAGAAACGCAAGAGATTTGGTGGCTTTCCGGAGGGCGGGCGCCGGCTAAACACACACGAGCATCAATCAAAGGCGATATATACATATATATACGAGAAGAGAAATAAATTGTCCTCGCAGGGGTAACTAACCACATGATGATGGCAGAGCCCCTTCTGGCGCTCCTCCCGGAGGTGTCACGCCCGCAACGTCTTCCACCAATCAAGGAGCGTATTATGTGGACGGCAGCTGCGCTTTTCATATTTTTGGTTTGCTGCCAGGTTCCTGTGTATGGTGCCCGACCCGGCCAGGCGAGCGATCCTTTTTATTGGATGCGTGTGGTGCTGGCTAGCAACAAGGGGACACTCATGGAACTTGGTATTTCGCCAATTGTCACCGCCTCATTGATTATGGAGCTGCTTTCGGGAGTGAGGCTAATCAGCTACGATGCGAACAATAAGAAGGAACGTGCTGTTTTTGAAGGAATTCAAAAAATTGCGGCTCTTCTCATCACCGCTGTTGAGGCCTTGGCGTACGTAAGCTCCGGCATGTACGGCGATGTGCGGGAGATTGGCACCATCATGTGTGGCTTCATCGTGGTACAGCTTATGATGGCCACGCTTATTTGCATCCTTTTGGATGAGCTTCTGCAGAAGGGGTGGGGCCTTGGCGCCGGCACATCACTCTTCATAGCCACAAATATCTGCGACACCATCATCTGGAAGAGCTTTTCTCCTTCAACCATTAACACAGGCCGTGGTGCGGAGTTTGAGGGCGCCATCATTGCTTTTTTTCATCTGCTGGTGTCGCGCTCCGACAAGGTACGGGCGCTGAAGGAGGCCTTCTACCGCCCACAATTGCCAAATCTGACGAACATTTTTGCTACACTTGTGGTGTTTGCAGTTGTTGTTTTCTTCCAGGGATTTCGCGTGCCGCTTATGACCAAGTCGCGCCACGCTGGTGCTGATCGTCAGCCATACATGATCAAGCTTTTCTACACCAGCAACATGCCGATTATTCTGCAGGCTAGCGTTGTTTCAAACATCAACTTCTTCTCACAGATCCTTTCGCGCCGCTTTGGACAGCACAACTTCCTGATCAATCTCCTTGGTCGCTGGGAGGAGCGTGCGTACAGTCAGAGCGGTCAACTGTTCCCAGTTGGTGGTCTCTCCTACTACCTTACGCCTCCTGCCACTCTCTATGAGCTGTTGAATGATCCCATTCACGGCATCTTCTACGTCGTGTTTATTCTTTTCTCATGTGCCGTCTTCTCAAAGCTCTGGGTGACGATCAGCCACACTGGCCCACGTGACGTGGCAAAACGGCTTGTGGCGGAGGGTCGCTGGCTCGCGCAGGCTCGTGAGAGTGAGGAAGATATGGCACGTCTGCTGGATAAGTACATCCCTGTAGCGGCAAGCTTCGGTGGGCTCTGCGTTGGGGCACTCACTATCTTTGCGGACTTCCTTGGTGCCATTGGCAGCGGCACAGGAATTCTCCTGGCTGTAACGATGATTAACCAGTACTTTGAAATCCTTCAGCAGGAGGGCAAGGACTTGGGCTACGGCTTCCTCAAGCATAAGCTTGCATAAATTTGTAGCAAACCCGGCGTTGGTGAGGCGGTGATGGTGTGGCCGGCCAGCCGGGTTGAGTTCCCGGTGAAGCGCATCGAAGAAAAACAAAAAATAAAAGAAAAGGAACAACGGGGAGGGATGAAGGGATAACGTGTGTGTGTGTGCGGCTGTGCGTGGGAGGCGATGAGATAAAGGAGAGAAAGAAAGAAAGGATAAGGCAAAACAAGGCTGTTTTGCCCCCTTCTGTCTCTAATAGGCACAACAACGAGGAATTTTGTTCGCCACCACCAAACACGCAGAGTTTTACGGTGCATGACACCACCTATGTGTGGCGAAGGACAGAAAATATATTTGGCAGTTTTCCCACAGGTGATGGAGGTTCACATACACTGACATGCACGCTTCTCCCTTGCTCCGCCCACCATCACCCCCCGCACCGCCCCATGTTTGTTTGTGCGTGTGCGCATGCCTGTGTCCGCCCCTCTCTATGTACTTTTATAAATGTATAAATGTACTACTACTATGTGCGTCGGGTGCCGCGAGGTGTGACAGGGGTGGGGGTGGGGCGTTAGCATCATGGTGAAAGAAGGAAAAAGAAGAAAAGGAAGTTATGCCATGCCGTTACAGGAAGGAAACGAACAGAATAAGATGACTCACAAGAAAGTAAGGAAATCGTATACAATATTTGAACGAGATAGAGAGAGAGAGGGTACGAGTGAAGGAGGCTAAGTAACTGAATGCGAAAGGACCGAACAAACGCTTAGGGCAGACAAAAAAAAACACACGGAAAAAGGAGGTGGGGAATGGAAGAGAAGTTGATTATTCATGTCAGCTCACTGGGAAGAACAACATCGGCAACAGGGGCGGTAGCAGCAGAATAAGGAGGAAATAGACGCATATGTGTGCTCTTGCGTGTGAGTGAGGAGGCAGCTGTAGTATTTAGCAACCAATAACAACGACGATGGGAGAAGCGGGTTTTGCACTTTCTTACGTTTGCCTCTACACATGCATTTCTTCCTTCATTCGTATTTTCCTTGTTTAGTTTGCTTGCTTTTTGAAAGCTGCATGCTCACCTTTTGTGGGTGATGGAGACATTGGGTTGTCGTCGCTGCTTGCTTCCTCTATGCATGTATGCATGTGCGCGTTTTTGCCAGTGAGCAGGGTGTGCTGCTCTTCCCCGGGATGGTGGTGGAAAAAGATGGGGATGGGGACTGCCACGCGTGAGGGGTGACGGTACATCATGGACTCACAGCCACCATTCTCTGCCGTTGTTTCCCCCCCCCCCCCTCCACGTCTCTTCTTCTTCCTGTTATTATGACCTCTCAGTGTGTATGTCCCTTCCCAACCTCTTTTTTCTTTGATTTTTTTTTTTGCTGAGTGCTATGCGCCTGGTGTGTGCCAAGAGCTGCCTTTGAGGGGCCTGGAGAGTGCGGGTGTTTGTGATGAAAGTCACTTAAATGGTTCCTCGTGCTTCTTGTTTGTGTGTGATGCCTAAACGCTCAGGCTCGTTTCTTCCGTCGCTTTTTTTTTTTCTTGCCTCTCTCGCTCGGTGGTTGCCTGCCTGTGCGTGTCGTGTGCACCGTTAGGAAGGCGAGAAAGGAAAAATAAAATAAAAGGAAGCAACTAGGTGAGATGGAGAAATAGCTGTGCCCTTTGCGTGGTGGATTCTGCTCAGCAGCGGGCAAAGGGATGGCTGAGGGGCGAGGCCTCACCCTGATGTGTGCGTTATTAGCAGTGTCAGTAGTTTGGCCGTTTGAATATCTGCAAGAGGTCGGCACCGACTGTGTTGGGCCGTTGCTAGGGCCGTCTGTATCCGCAGCCCGGCGCGGTGTGCTTTTTTTGGAGGTACAGTTTTTTATGCGTTTTTTTTTTTTGGTTTTGCTGCAGGGACGGGAGCTATGGAGGACCTGTGGACGAGAATAGACGCATTACAGTGGGACGCAGCCTCTTTGAGGCGCACTGCAGTCTTTTGTACATTGTCATCCATGTGGTGCTAACGCGCCTACGGGTGTGCGGTATGCTGCGTGGCGCGTTACCGGAGCGACAATGCGGCCGGGTCTTGTATATGAACACATTACAACAGTCCTCCGCACGCTGGTGACGAAATCACTGGTGTGCAATGTTAACTTGATAACTGCATTTATTATGAATGGATCGACCAGTTTTCATGCAACATTTCAGACGTGTTTTGATATGTTAGAGGGAGGCCTGTTGACGCTGATGCTGACATTGCTGCTGTGGATAATGATGATGACGAAGTATGTCCTCGGGCCCACATTGGTAACGTGCTCCTTCTACGAGAAATTTGTATTTATTAAAGTTTCGTAAAGCGAAGGGAGTGGCAAGGTGTGTTGAGGCGGGTGTTTATTTGGTGGGTGGCTTTCGCCATCTGGCAGTTTCCGTATGTGGCGTGAGACACCAAAACGCATTGCAGCGCATGTTCTGCCGGCTGTTTTGCGGTCACTAGCTTTGCTTCCCTTAATAGCCACGGCTGCGTTTTTGTGTATATTGCTCGCCGAAACGGTGAGCAACAAGGCGCCGCTAATTGCATCTGTAGGGACAACCATGTAGTCGTTTTCTGAGTTTCATCAGTGTCAGCAGGCGATGAACATTGATGCCACTGAAATTCCGCTGGAGCCGTTGACTGAAGCGGCGGGTGACTGCACCATCAACCAAGACATAAGGTCTTGGATAGACTCGCTAACCGTGTTTGTCAGCTGGCCTGGGCGAGGCGGACCACTGCGAAAAGGAGCGAGTTACATCCATGGCGTGCTGGACTTTTACTCACCATTGCCGTTGCTGGGAAAAAAAGACGCCAACTCATGCGGTATTGACGCCGCTTTACGAGGCATTGATTTTGAAGCATCTGAGTGGAGACGTGATGACACCTTTGGCATAGCACCATCCCTCTCTGGAAGGGGTGCGTGCAGGATAATCGAGGAAGCGCCTGCCGCTCCTCAGAAGTCTCGGTGGACATCAATGGTGCTTCGCCAAGTTGGTGTTGCATCAGCTCGTCTTTTGCACACACCTTATACAGCATTGACCCTTGCTCTTGCAGTGAGCAGCCGTGCAGGTTTTTGTTGGAGAGGTCTTTGCTGGATGACGCGACTGAGGGATATACGATCGTACTTTCGCATTGGCCTGTGCAGCACCAGCTTCTCCTTGTGATGTACGGTGTGGTTTGGGCAAATCCCTGACAGAGCCAATCTATCTTGGCATATGCGACATTTGAGGGAGATGCAGGAGCGCTGTGAGGTTGCCTGCATTACCTTCCCCCTTGCCTGGCGGACTTTATATCAGCCTATTAGCTTAATGGCAGTGTTACTCGCCGTACTCATCGTGGTGTTGGAAAAGCAGTTTTTCTTTCGCCCGTTTTTTTTTTTTTTTACATTAAAATAATTTCTCTTTAAAACGAAAAAAATAACAATAAAAAATGTGTGGGCGAGTGAGTGATGTTAAAAACAAAAAAAACGCACGTACACACGGTTGGTGTTTGCCAAATATGGCGCAATGTTGTTGTGTTAGCTCTTATTACTGTTTTTTTTTTGTTTCTCGCATACACACGCAGTGTTAGTGTCGCCGCTGCCTTGTGGGGAGAGGAGTCTGTTCGCCGCTGCGACCCCGCGCCAGGGGGAGATTTTTCTTTTTTTGTCCCCCAATCGTCTGTGTCGCGTTCCTCCTCCGCGCACCGCCATCCAACCCTGGGCGGCACGGCGGAGATGGGTCTGACGCCCTCGACTCAACTGTACGCGTTCGGATGCGGCGCATGCGACGGGGTCGTTGGGCCCACATGGGGCAGTGCCGTATTTGGGCGGGGCGGAGGGTCAACCTGTCTGCGCTTTTTTTTTCTTTTTATCTTTTTTCTTTCCAGAGTAGGGTGGGTGTGAAATCTTCACCAGCACCCACTTATTGGCCGACGTTTGTTTGATCGCATTTCTTCCACGAAAGCGAGACGAAAAGGAAGAGACTTGAGTCCTTGAAGGGCTCACCGGGGCAGCGGGAGACAACCCCAGCGGATACCAGGGCGTGAGGGTGCGATTATGTCGCAACCCAACGGCAGGGAGAGGCGTGGCCCCTTCTCGGACGGGGCGCCGCCGCGGGAGGAGATGGCAGGCAGTTTGCAGTATCGCTCCTCGTCACACGCGTCCTCCAGTGTCTCTGCGCACGTCTCACGCGCCGAGATGACGCAACATACGGCTAGCGGAAGTGGCCCACAACGGGATACGTGGCTCAACAACCGCGAGGCCGAATTGGCATCGACGGAGCTTAGATCGACGAGCAGACACCGGCACGAACACCGCCGGCGGCATCGACGAAGCCACCACCCTTCCGGTGAGAGTGGCGATGCCGCTGTACCTAGCACTGAAGGTGACGTAGAGAGGAGACGACGTAAGCGTCACAAAAGTGGCCACAGTATGAGTAGTGTTCGCTCCAGTGAGGCGCCGAAGGGACCGACGTTGGCACCGGCGGTGAGCGCGGTAGACGTTGAAAGGCGGGGTTCAATAGTAAATGGTGCCAACCTCTCTTCTAGCTCTAATTGGCAGAGGCAGAAGGCTGAAGATGCGATGGAGCCTCAAAATGAGCGGGAGCCGGGTGAAGATGAAAGGGGAAAAAAGAGTAAAGACACAATTTGTGGTGGGACGTTTCCCAGGTTGTCAGTTGTTGATGGCCCAGAGTCGAATATAACAACCATCTTCACATCAAATCAGCGACGTCCTCCATCTAGGCACGTGGTTCAGCACGGGTGTCTGGTAGAGCACAATTTTGTTGGTAGCGACGGCCGGAGTCAGTTGCCAGTTCCCGTCCATGTCAATGGCATCCAGACGGAGGAGATGGTAGCGTTGCCCACGCATAGAGTATTACGCGATGGTGTAACATCTTACAGGGAGAGATCACAGAAGGGAGATGGAATCAAGAAACAGGAAGTAACTGTGAGTGTTAAACAAGATTTCTCTGTGGTGAACAATGCTGCTGCATCATCTGAGTGTGTGTTCTCGCCCCGAGACGAAACCAATGAAAGTATTGACCTAGGCCCATCTGTGTTAGTTTCTAGGCAGAAACAACACTGGTACCCACGGGAGATGTTTAACACGGAGCATGGTGGCTGCCCTGTATTAATAGTAGAGAGAGAAGAGTACATGGGCACTGCAGCAGAGTGTATTCCCACATCTTCAGAGGTTGCCCCACATGAGACGTGTGAGTCTTCACATGGTGACCACTTTCTCACGGATGAAGCATTGAGAAGCGTGCACGCTTCCGAGTTAGACAGTGGTGTGCTGTCGTCTATGCAGGGATACTCCAAACCACCATGTGTATCTTGTTGTGTGGATCGTTCATCCCCTGACAGCTGGCAGCTTGCTCGTTCACGACAGCACGCGTTTCAGTGGCCTCTTCATTGTTTACAGATAATAGCTATAACTTTGACAACGCTTAGTAACATCCTTTTTTGGATTTCGATCGTACCAGCCTATGCTCTACTGCATCACCGCGGTGGATACACGAGTTGTTTGCCCGAGATGCTGGTACTTGTGACTCTTACAGGTTTGGCGATTCTGTCAACATGCATTTTGTGGGGTATCTTATCGTTTCGCGAAAACGGGGACACCTCAAATGAGGGAGAGCCGTGTTGCTATTGTAGACGGCTTACACGTTTGAATTCCAGACACTGTAAGGCGTGCAACAAGTGCATCAGTGGATTCGACCATCATTGCAAATGGCTGAATGTGTGCATTGGAGATAGAAACTACCGTTTCTTTATTAGCTTCATCATTTCCGCGCTTTTCAGTATGGTGCTGGCACTTATCACCGGCACTGTTCTTTTAGCCAAATGGTGGACGCAGCTGTCGGCGTACTCGTGGTTCTTTCGCGTTGCCCCCATTGTATTTTGCATACTCATGCTGGCAGCGGCGTCACCTCTCGTGCACCTGCTTGGCTTTCACATCATGTTGCGTCGCCTCGGGCTGACAACCTTTGAGTACATCACGCGGCAGCGGCAACAAGTGATGCGGGACCCCCACTGGGATGGTTCCTCGGACGGTGCTGGTAAAGGGCTTCAGGTGCATGAAATGGGTGGTGCTTAAGACGAATAGAGTCAAATCTGAAACGTCATATTTTTGGCCAAAAATGGTGGGAGGGATACACTTGCCAATATTTCTTAGCATGTAACAATTGGACGGAGCAATGCGTGCACCATTGGCTAACGTTGGCCTCTGCCTCTGCCACGCCATGTGTGTGCGTGTAGGTGACTCTCATGGAGGCGGCCCGCTGAAAAATGTTAAAAGGACGTGGTGTGGGAAAGTGAATAACTAGTAGAAGAAAGTTGTCACTTTTTTTTTGTTTGCTGTCGTTGATGTTGTTGTTTGCGTGAATCACTCATATTGTTTGTTTCACAATGTGGCATGTACATCTGCAATGTGGAAGGTGTGGTGTTTGTCTGGTCTGTGCTCCGCCATTGAAATTTCTTTTGCTGTTGCCGTTTTTTTTTTCTTTGGCATTGTCCCACTCTGTACCCACGTGCGAAAATGTGTTTTCGCCTTTTTTTCCTGTCATTGGGGATGCGCTGCCAACACCTTCTGCAACGTCCCTCTGCGTCACTGTCCCGCTGGACGTAGAGGAGGACGGGGGTTCATTTTAAGTTATATATATATCTCTCTCGACGATGATGTGTCTCTTGACATCATCTGTCTCTGACATACCCTCTCATACGCCCCTTCTCTTTTTATCATCCCCATCCCACATCCGGACACACACGCATGCATGTGTGTGCGTATGTGTGTTGTCCTCCGCATGCCATGCTGGGCGATGAGACATAAAAATGCATTTGCGGTAGGTGTTGTTTTTCCTGCCTGCTGATCGTGTGGTTTTCTGCGCCTTCTTCTTGCGTATATGCGACGAAATAGAAGGAAAAAACGGAAAAAAAAAGGCAAAGATTGAATTAAAAAAAAAGAAAAACCGAGGAGAGCAGTGACGCCCACACTGATACACATACATTGGGGAGATCCAGCGGTCAAATGCTCTTTGAGATCCTCATCCTTGGCCTTACGGCTCTTGTGCTGTATTCGGTATACTTTATAAAGTCATTTAACACAACCCGCCCAACGGATCCGCCCGTGTACCCTGTCACAGTGCCTTTTCTAGGACATATTGTGAAGTTCGGCGAGGACCCGCTTGGGTTTATGCAACGATGCAAGCGAGAGCTTAAGTCTGGCATTTTTACCATCAACATTGCGGGAAAACGTGTGACGATTGTGGGCGATCCACGCGAGCATAGCCGATTTTTCTTGCCACGCAACGAGATCCTCTCTCCGCGTGAGGTGTACAGCTTTATGGTCCCTGTGTTCGGCGAGGGCGTCGCCTACGCTGCGACGTACCCGAGGATGCGGGAGCAGCTAAACATCCTCGCGGAGGAGTTGACCATTGCGAAGTTTCAGAACTTTGTCCCTGCGATTCAGCACGAAGTCCGCAAGTTCATGGCACATAATTGGAATAAAGATGAGGGAGAGATCAATCTCCTCGAGGATTGTGGTGCCATGATCATCAACACAGCCTGTCAGTGCCTTTTTGGTGAGGATCTACGCAAACGCTTGGATGCTCGACAATTTGCCCAGCTTTTGGCCAAGATGGAAAGCAGCCTGATCCCCGCCGCTGTCTTTGTTCCGTGGTTGCTGCGTTTACCTCTGCCGCAGTCGGCTCGCTGTCGAGAGGCTCGGACAGAACTTCAGAAAATTTTGAGTGAGATTATTGTTGCCCGCGAGGAGGAGGAGGCGGGCAAAGATAGCAACACCTCGGACCTCTTGGCTGGACTTCTTAAGGCTGTGTACCGTGATGGCACCCCCATGTCGCTTCATGAGGTGTGTGGCATGATTGTTGCCGCCATGTTTGCAGGCCAGCACACGTCAACAATCACCACAACCTGGTCTATGCTGCATCTCATGCACCCAAAGAACAAAAGACACTTGGAAAAATTGCACAGGGAGATTAACGAATTCCCGGCACAGTTGAACTATGATAATGTCATGGATGAGATGCCATTTGCTGAGCGTTGCGCCCGTGAATCTATTCGCCGTGATCCTCCACTTGTAATGCTCATGCGTATGGTGAAGTCCGAGGTGAAGGTTGGCCCATATGTGGTTCCTAAAGGCGACATTATCGCCTGTTCGCCCTTGCTCTCACACCAGGACGAGGAAGCGTTTCCAAATCCACGCCTGTGGGATCCGGAGCGTGTGGAGCAGATTGAAGGGGCCTTTATTGGCTTTGGTGCTGGCGTGCACAAATGTATTGGGCAAAAATTTGGTCTGTTACAGGTCAAAACGATTCTTGCCACTGCCTTCCACGACTACGACTTTGAGTTGCTGCGAGACGAGGTTCCGGAGCCAGACTACCACACGATGGTCGTGGGTCCCACGCTCAGTCAGTGCCGCGTGAAGTACTTCCGCAAGAAGAAGCTGTCCTCGTGAGATTGAGACAGACAGCCACACAAAAGGGTATTCAAACAAAAAATACAATAATGGGGCAAAAACAAAAGGAAAGAAAACGAAGAACAGCGACAAGGGAGGGGGAATAACTCCAGAGGGGGGGGGGGGGGGGGGATGAAAGTAGAACTACAAATCCTAATGCGAGTGTTTCGTGTGGGAACATTTGGGGTGAGCTGGTTTACAGATGTAAGAGCCTTCGTCTGCTGAGTTCCGGGGGAACGGGGCTGCGTCACAGAAGGGACTGAAGTGCGAATAGGTCACTTCCCGCTAGTGCAACTATATATATATATATATATATATATATACTAGTTGGTAGGTGGGTGGGCGA